GTGTGTGTGTGTGTGTGTGTGTGTGTGTGTGTGTGTGTGAGTGAGTGAGAGTGTGTGTGAGTGTGCGTGCGTGAGTGTGTGTGAGGGAGTGAGTGAGAGTGTGTGAGTGTTAATCAAATTGAGAAGTTTTATTTGCGACAGGGTTATTATAGTCAACTAAAACTGAAACCAAAATCAAAACCATATTAACATTTGCTTCACTTGAAACAATCGTTAACGAATATAAAATAAAGATATTATTTTTTACATGTATTTATTTTTACATTTCTTTGTGTATTAATTTATATATTTATTTATTTCTAATTTTGTCAGGTGTGGCATTCCATACTTTCACAGGAAAAGTAAAGTTAAGACTCTCCCAGTTTCTCTCAGCAGTCAATAAATGGGGAAACAAAGTAACTTGTGTTACTTATTTGAAAAATATTTTGTTGTAAATTTGAAAGTAATGCATTACCTCACTAGTTACTTGAAAAATTGAAAAAAAAGTAATCTGCGTTACTTGTAATGCATATATATATATATACCATTAAAATTTCTTAAATGAAGCATGGTCTCTCTGGCTTGCTGTTAATAGCACAGCTTGTTAAATGTCAGTCTGACCTCAGCTTGACCCACATTGTTCAGTTCAAGTGTATGTAAAGCGGTTTTACCGTGAATCAAGAGGGTTGTTAGTATCGGTTTAACGTTTTGACATACTAACTAATTAGCTATTGGATTAGGCCGGTATTTCACTCGTTTCAGCTCCATTTTATGGCAGTTTGACGTATATAAAGCGTTATTTATCATCTTGATGGGTTTATTCCAGCCACAGCCAGTTCGAAATAACTCGAAGGGAACAAATGAAGTAATTCCCGGGAAAAGGCTAGTAGGAAGCCCATATAAGGCTTTAAGGGGAGGAGTTATGGAACACGCCATGACGCGGGGACTCTATAAAAGCGTTCAGCGTCGCAGCTACTTCCGCTTCGCTCTCCAAACAAGAGTGTCGACCAACACGAGCACTATCTCCTTCACAGACTACGCTTTAACCTTCAACTCTATTTTAAGTTTTTTTTTTTTACATATATCGCTTTCTTTCGCGTCGTGATCGGAAATATGACTCTGAGTTTGGGGAATAGACCGATGGCTGCGTTGGGTGTCCTCGCGGAGGAAGCGGACGCCGCGCTGAAGCCGCTGAGGCCCGGGACCAACGGCCTGAAAGGCCTGCAGCTGGACGGACGGTTCGTGTCCGCGGGAGACGGCTCTCTACCGGCCACCCCGGACCCGCAGGAGCTCGGTTCCGACACGCGGCAGCTTCTGTTGGATTTCTATCGCACGCACACCGGAATGAGTCTCCCGGACCGGAAGCGTCATCACGCGTTACCGACAATGAAACGCGTCGTCGCGGACGTCGTCATAAAGCACCAGATCACTTACAGAGGTAAGGCGCATGCGCATTCGCGACACTCTTAATTCAGACGAGTCGTTTGCTGTCAGTTAATCGACTAATAATAATAATAATAATAATAATCCGTAAATATTGGTGCTCTACAGTACATCTTTCCTTTCCATGTGTTTTTAATATTAGCCAACGCTACAAAAATAAAAAAAAATAATTTCGATTAAGTTTGATTTCGTTTTATTTATTTATTTATTTATTTATGTAGCTATTTGACCTTAAGTGACTTGTGGTTTGTTTCTCGGTCAGGTTTTTTTTCTCAGTATTTTTTATTTTTTATTTGGTCAAACCGCGAAGTTCATTGCGATTCTTCGAACTGCAACACGAGAATAGGGTCACCTGACCAAACCCGGAAATGCTTATCATTAACATTCCGAAATATCGGAATGTTAGTGAAAATACAAGCTATCTGTGATGGACGTTGGTTATGATGATTTTTGTATCTACTCTGAAGGCGTCTTGAGTAAAACTGCTTCATATTTAACGAAGCATATGCAAAACGCTTGCACCGGAACCGGAAGTCTGTTGCGCAGAGCCCCTATAGACTGGGTTTGAATTAAATAGACTGGGTTTGGATAGCGAAACTATTTCGAAAGCGGTGGGTGGAACGAAATCGGGTTTAACGCACGACTACAGAATGCGCGGAATGTAAGCAAGCCGATTGCGAAAGTCTACAATTTCAACAGCTCAAATTTTAAATCTCTCTCTTGTTTCATGAGAGTTCGCGCAGTTCCCCACGTTGATTAAAATATCTAAGAAAAAAATAAAATAAATTAAAAATCGTATTTAGTCATTAAACCTTCAGTAACCCTCTGTTCAAAATCTCTACTATTGTCGAATACGAAGAATCGTTATTTTATAAATCTGTAATTTGAGTGAATCACTGTTTTATGTAGTTTCTCCTCATTACTTGTTACCGTCTGTTGTTTTGAGCATGAATTAATCAGAAAAGTGGCGGGGAGTGAATGTCTGCATTAGACGTCAGGATCTGTGCGGGAGGTTTCTGATGCGGCGGATCGTAAAGCAGAATGAGTCGGTGCTGTGGGTGGAGTTGCTGAAGTGTTTGGGCTTTTCTGCAGGGATGCTGCAGCATCTGCAGCTGGACTCTCAGCCGGACGACTTGAGCTTCATCGGCTGTATAGCAAAGACGATGTTCAGAGACGACACCACCAACTGGGGCCGGATCGTGAGTCTGGTGGCCTTCGGGGCCGTGGTGTGCTCGCGTCTGAAGGAGCTGCAGAGAGAGCGGTGCGTGGAGACTGTGGCCCAGCAGATCTCCTCCTATCTGATCTCAGAACAGCACGACTGGCTGCTCAACAACAAGGGCTGGGTGAGTGACACCAGAGGAAAATCTCACTCGTACTCTAATGGGAACAGCTTGTGTTTCCTTCACTGCATAATTCAGAGCTGTGTGTGTGTGTTCCATTCAACACGTGAAACCCGACTCATGGGGCTCGTGTGTCAGACAGACTGCCATTAAACTAAATCCAAGTCTTTAATGTTTCCATGTTATTACAAAATTTACACTTTTTTTTTTTTTTTTTTTTAAATTGAAAAAAATAATTTCTTAGAAATTAAATTTTTTTTAAACTATGATAAACAGTTTTTTTTATTTCTAAGAAATAAAAAAAACTCTTTATTATATATTATATTTTATATAGCATATATAAGTATATATAAATGTAATTTTTTATTATAATGAAAATTAGAGAATTTGTTTTTTAATTTCTAAGAAATTCTCTGATTTTCATTATAATAAAAAAAATTACATTTATGTATGCTATATAAAATATAATAGATGTATTTTTTTATGAAGAAGAGAAATTCTTAGAAATAAAAAACTGTTTATCATAGAAATTAAAAAAAAAAATGATAAAGTTTTTATTTCTAAGAATTTCTCTTTTATATAAAAATAAATTACATTATATATTATATTTTATATAGCATATATAAATATGTACTTTTTATTATAATGAAAATTGGAGAATTTCTTAGAAATTGTTTTTTTTGTTTTTTACTAAAGAATTTCTCCTTTTCATCAATAAAAAAGGGTAAATTTTGTAAAACAAACTTAAATTATATTTTATATAGCATATAAATATTTCTAAAAAAAATATTGTATTATGACAAATTTGGTGTGAATATATGAAATTTATAAGAACGTATAATAATCAGAATTACCATTAAATTGCAGTGTAGTTTGTAACTCAAGATTGCTCAAAAACAGTCCAAATTTATCTTGCATATTTATTTCTGACAAAACAACAAATATTGCTCCATGTTTTGAAATGGAATAAATGTTAATTTCATATTCACTTTCAGATGCATAAATTTTTTTGCTGCGGTAGTTCATCAGTAGATGTTCACATTCTTTCAAAAGTGTGTTGAGATGCGGGGAAAAGATGACGTATGTATTTACAGGAGAGTTTAGACGTTAATATAACTCAATAGATCATTTTACAAAGCGTTTTTGACAGCAGCTCAAAATGACCCGAACACACAAAACCTCTTAAAAACAGTTGTAATGAATAGATGTGTATTTTGAGGGAAACCGTATGGACCTGAGTGTGTTTTGAGGACTGATGTGTTTCTGTGTCTGCGCAGCATGGGTTCGTGGAGTTCTTCCGCGTGGAGGACGTGGAGTCTGTGGTTCGCAGCGCTCTGATGGCGGTTGTGGGATGTGCTGGGATCGGCGCCGGTCTCGCTCTCCTGATCCGATGAAACTCCATCGCTCTCGTGTCCGCCGCAGATGAAGCGCGCATTAGCGTGTGGTTAGGAGTCGAACTCCTGCTGCGCTCCGCTGGACTCGGCTTTGAGCTCAACGTGCGCTCACCATCCCAGCATGCACTGCACCAAAGATTGGGCTCGACGTGAGCCAGCGACGAGCAGGAATATTTTTTCTGAGCTATTTTTCTAATAAAAAGTGTTCAGAAATGCATATGGTGTCTGCTTTCATTGCTCTACTTTGCAAATGTGTAAATGTTGATGAGAGCCATTGAGTTTAACTCCTGAGTTCCTGATAATGGGCTGAAATGCATCTGTTTTTGCTCAGATTGACCTTTAGGCAAAGAGAAGCAAGACCGACCTCATTTCAGAGTCTCTTCTGTCTGAAAGTGAAAGAACTTCTCTAACACGCTGCCAAAAGCTTTCGATTCCACTCAATGCTTTCAGTTGTGGTTTACCATGTATCGCAGGAAAGACGATGTGGCTCATCAAACTTCAGCTGAATCCTGGCAACAAGCTGCATTTGCAAATGTCTCAAACTGCAATATGATCCGAAATTATTTGCAGAAATCGGCTTATGTTAAACCTTTCGTTTCGCTTTTAAATGGCAAGTAGTCAACTATCAGTGTAATTGGAGCAAAACATAAAAAAAAAAAAATTCTGGTATGTATTTAAAGCTTCATTAAAAAGCTGCAATGGTAAAACGTGGCGTTTACTATTTTTAACAAGTAAATATGATTCTTCAGTTTCTTTTGTTAGTACATTTGTCCAAATAAAGCTACAGTAGATTTTCTTGTTTTATATGGGCTTTTAAAAGAATAGTTTACCCAAAAATGAAAATTTGCTCTGCAGTGAATGGGTGCTGTCAGAATGAGTCCAAACAGCTGATAAAAACATCACAATAATCCACAAGTAATCCACAGCACTCCAGTCCATCAGTTAACATCTGGAGAAGACAAAAGCTGAAACACATCCAGCATTAAGAAGTTTTTAACTAAAATACATTGAGTCTATAATCCATAATGCTTTCTCCAGTGAAAAAATGCATCTGTTGTCTCTCACATGTGTTTAGAGCGGTTTAAACGCTGCTTGATTTGTGCAGATTTCTCTCCTGATTCAGACCAGAACACTTTTTCACTGGAGGAAGAGTTATTATGGATTATGGACTCTATGGTATTTTAGTTAAAAACGTCTTAATGCTGGATGTGTTTCAGCTTTTGTCTTCTCCAGATGTTAACTGATGGACTGGATTACTTGTGGATTATTGTGATGTTTTTATCAGCTGTTTGGACTCTCATTCTGACGGCACCCATTCACTGAAGAGCATCCATTACTGAGACACTGATGCAATGCTGCATTTCTACAAACCTGATGAAGAAACAAACTCATCTAGAGAATGATGCTGCTATTTAATGTGATTATCAGATTTCATACATGCACCGTGTGATTCAGACACATGCAGACTTCAGATGGTTCTGGCAGAGTCCAGATGTGTTTGGAGATCTGCAGATGTTTCTGCGTTTGTGTTTGTGTTAGTTCCAGTGCAGCAAAACCACACAGCAGCAGTGTTACATTTCTCATGTGTGTGTGTGTCTGTGGTTTCTGTCATCTGGTTCAGTGTGTTGTTGCTTTTCTGGCTTACAGTGCAAGTCAGCAAATATAGAGCACGACATAAACACCCGTCGCATCTGATGTGTTGCGTTCTGCATTTCTGGCTCAGCATCTGAGACCAGATTAACACACACACACAGCAGCCCTGCACAACGACACCCTTGCAGCATAAAAATACATGCATCTCAATTATTTCCCTTCTACCTTTCATTGCAAAAACACTTGAACGAGTTGTGTTCAACCAAGTCTCAGCCTTTCTCACACAGAACAACCTCCTGGACAGCAACCAATCTGGCTTCAGAAGTGGACATTCGACCGAGACTGCCTTGCTTTCAGTTGTTGAAGCCCTAAGACTGGCAAGAGCAGCTTCCAAATCTTCTATACTTACTTTGCTGGATCTGTCTGCTGCTTTTGATACGGTGAACCACCAGATTCTCCTGTCAACCCTATTGGAAAATGGCATCTCAGGAACCGCACGCCAGTGGTTTGAGTGCTTTGGATAAAAGCGTCTGCTAAATGACTAAATATAAATGTAATTATTTCTCATAAACATCAGTGAGATTAAATGGAGAGCAAACCTGAACCAGTTTGGGGAGGTTTGCACACATAAACACACTGATGAACCGCTGCCTGTGCTTTATCAGTGCGTGTGTGTTCAGCAGCAGATCTCTGACACCATCAACACACACCACAAACATTTCTGAGAAATTTGTGTGTATGTGTGTGTGTGTGTGTGTGTGTGTGTGTGTGTGTGTGTGTGT